CTATGACTTTTACACACAGTCTGCCAAAGGCAGCCATATGTCTGGTTAGAGAGAGAATTTTTTATAGAAGGATTGCCTAGTGAAAGGCGAAGTTGACAGTCAACTTTCGACTTTCAATATAGGATTATGTGGCAGGACAGGAGTCTTCAAGCCAGGATAGTATCTTGAGGGAGGATTCACCAAATTCCTTTCCTTCCCTCTTTCCCCATTGGTTCATCAACAGTGAGTCTCCTGCCCTGTTTTTAAGGCTCACGTGGACATCTGGGGAAGGGTAAATATGACATAGGGAGGTATAGAAAAAGCACGCCCCCCTGCCCTCTTCTGGATCAGGAGATTTAAGGGAGAAGCAGGATGGAGCGGGGGCTAAGGAGTCCCCGGCCAGTGACAGTTAAGATGGGGCCCTGGACTTCCCCAGTGGCGCAGTGGTTAAAAATTCGCCTGCCAATGCAGGGGACATGGGTTCCAGCCCTGGTCCGGGAAGATCCCACATGCCGCGGAGCAACTAAGCCCGTGCGTCACAACTACTGAGCCTGCGCTCTAGAGCCCGCGAGCCACAACTACTGAAGCCCGTGCACCTAGAGCCCGTGCTCCGCAACAAGAGAAGCCACCACAATGAGAAGTCCACACACCTCAACGAAGAGTAGCCCCCGCTCGCCACAACTAGAGAAAGCCCGCGCACAGCAACGAAGACCCAACGCAGCCAAAAATAAAATAAATAAAATAAATAAATAAATAAGATGGGGCCCTGTCATCCCAAGACCTCCCCAGGCCCTGAATGAGCAGAACTCAAGCGAGACAGCAGCTATTCAAGATATAAGGCCATAAAAGCACACGAGGCCAGAATAAACATCGTCTTGGAGAGCAAGGGACCCCACTGGAGAGCTGGACCAGCACACCCCAGGCCAGGGGCCTCTTCTCCCAGCAGAGACAGGCCAGGCTAGCTGAACAACTGAGCATTTTAGACCAAGAAAGACTGAAGACACCTAAAGGGCTTTTATAGTTATCCTAGCTGATTACACTTCATCAGTTACAGGCCTCATTGAAAACTGAATTTTTAATACTGCACATCCAAGACGTGGTATGAGTTAAGTACCCAGATCCATGGAGGAGTGACTAGGTGGTAGAAGAAGCTCTGGAATAGTTGGATGTAGCCAAGGAATGTGAGTGGAATGAGAACAGTGAGCTGAAGAAGCAGAAAATTTGGTCAAAGATGTGAGGGAGAAATTAGAGAGAGTGGGGCTGGGGAAGTCTGGAAGTTTGTGTTATAGGGAGAAAATGGTGAACAAGGCAACTTAATGTTGCAAAGGGAAGGGAGGATGAAATGGAGAAAGGGTCATTTGATTTGACAATTAGGAGATCAAGATGACATTTAAGAGGCCAGGTGAGGTAGTGATGGGAAAGAAACCCGTCAGGTAAATCACTGGTGTTAAGGAGTGAGTGAGTGATGAAATGGAAACAGCCAGAGTGAGTGTTTCCTTTGAAGGTTTGTTAATGGGGTAGGCAAGTAAGAATACATCAGATGACAATATGAGAGGGTAGCATGAATGGGAGTAAAAGGACCTGGCTGTGACTGTAGGTAGAGAGAAAGGATCCAGTCGATGAGAAAAGATTAAAAATGCTAGAAAAAAAAAAGAGAGAGAGAGAGAGAGAGGACGCTGGAGTGTGATGTTTGAGCAGGACATCGTGTGGAGAAGATGAGAAAGGGGATCAGGAGAACAAGGTGGAAAGACTGAGCCGGTGAAGGAAGCAGGGACCTCTCTCTCCAGGAAGGAAGGCAAGTGAGGACACAGGTGTTCTCAGGTGGAGACAAGGGTTTATTAATACATGAGACATGTCCCCCTTTCCATTTTCCTTTACTAACTAAAAAGTGAGGTCACCGGTAGATGAGGCTACCCAACTGGGGAGACATCCAGTGATGAAGGATTGGGAGGGCAAGATGCAAGGGGGATGCACCTGCCCCCTGGAGGCTTGGGCCTCGACTTCAGGTCCACTTCTCATAAGAGGAGGGGCATTGCTGATGCAATGGGTTAAGCTGTGACAACCGCAAGTGAGAACAGTGGATGTTAGAAATGGAGGAGTCAAGGGGGCAGGGGTTTTCCTGGGAACAATTTCTGAAGCTTTGTCAGCTTCATTCCTTGTGCATATAATTTTATTAATAATTTTTACTTATTACTCAAAGAACATTGCCAAAACAATAATAGGATTTCTTTTCTTCCTTTATTTTTTTGCGGTACGCGGGCCTCTCACTGTTGCGGCCTCTCCCGTTGCGGAGCACAGGCTCTGGACGCGCAGGCCCAGTGGCCATGGCTCACGGGCCCAGCCGCTCCGCGGCATGTGGGATCTTCCCGGACCGGGGCACGAACCTGTGTCCCCTGCATTGGCAGGTGGACTCTCAACCACTGCGTCACCAGGGAAGCCCGGATTTCTTTTATTTTAAATATTTGTTTATTTATTTGGTTGTACCTGGTCTCAGTTGTGGCAGGCAGGCAGGCTCCTTAGTTGCAGCATGCACGTGGGATCTAGTTCCCTGACCAGGAATCGAACCTGGGACCCCTGCATTGGGAGCTCAGAGTCTTTAACCACTGCACCACCAGGGAAGTCCCAACAGGATTTCTTTTAAATCAAGATTTCATTTTTCCATGTTTCTTCCCAGTCTTAATCCTAATCCTTTTATGACTTTTATGTGGTTCTAACCAGGTCATAGATTTCAGCAGATTGTATTTCCTGAAAAACAGGAGCATTTCGAGTCCTGCAGGCTTGTTTAGAAACTGGTCACTCTCCCGTGACAAGGTAGAGTCTCTCTTCCTTCCCCTTTGAAACTGGATGGGATTTTGTGACTGTCTCCATGAATGGAGATGGAGGTGACACTGCATAATTTCCAAAACTAGGTCATGTAAGGTGAGTTGACTTCTGCCGGGCTCCCTCTCCGGGGACTCTCAGCGTTGGAACCCAGCTACCACGTTCTGAGAAAGCTCAAGCCACGTGTAGGTATCCCAGCCGAGAGATCCAGCTAAGGCTTTAGCTGACAGCCAGTGTCAGATGCCAGTCATGTCCTCTAATGAGCCTCAGATAAGCCATCCAGTTGTGTCCTGTCTGAATTTCTGATCCATAATAAATGGTTGTTTCATGCCACTAAGCTTTAGGGTAATTTTTCATGCAGCCATAGTAACTGGAACGCGCAGAGAGTTTTGTTTGATAACTTCTGCATGTGTTAGCATGAGCATTTACTCATGTTGCTTCATAGTCACAGTTATCATCTTATTGGCTGCAAAATATTTTAAATTGCTGTAGTATAGCTTATGTAAATATGGTGTTATTCTTGGCTATCTAGACTGCTTCTCATTTTTTACTACTTAAGTAATGATATAAAAAGTTGTGCATAGAGATTTTTCTTTGTCTTTGAGCTGCTTCACTGGGACAAATTCCCAGAAGTGAAACTACTTTTGGGTACGAACATTTTTATGACTCCACAAATGTACCACCAAATTGCTTCTCAGAATTGCATCGATAGATTCTACCATCCATTGTGTTTGGCAGTTTTGGTAGATAAAACCACCTCAAATTTGTTTTGAATTGAAGTGGGGTATAAATAAATTAAAGAAAAACCTTTACTATAATGATTAATTTAATTGGTGAAATTGTATTTTATCATCGCTTATAATTTGTATGTCTTGGGTGAGTACTGAGGCTGAGATTTTTCTCTATTTAAAAATGGTTTTTCTATATTTTAAAAATGGCAAAAAATTGTTTTACACATAAAAATATCTGCGTATATTCTTTATCCAATAATGTATTTATAAGAGCTCTTGAGATCACTGTTTTTTCGCGGCAAGTCACAATTCATTAGTAGATTATGAAATTGATTAAGTGGCTCATGACCAGTATTAATGAAAAAATTATAATACAATAAAAATATAAGAGGGCTTCCCTAGTGGCACAGTGGTTGAGGGTCCACCTGCCGATGCAGGGGACACGGGTTCGTGCCCCGGTCCGGGAAGATCCCACATGCTGCGGAGCGGCTGGGCCCGTGAGCCATGGCCGCTGAGCCTGCGCGTCCGGAGCCTGTGCTCCGCAACGGGAGAGGCCACAACAGTGAGAGGCCCGTGTACCGCCAAAAAAAAAAAAAAGAAAGGAAAAAGAAAATTATATAAAAATAAAAATACCATTCCACACATAGTGAGTTTTTTGTGTGTGAAATTTTTTTTTTCAATGTATGTAGTGGGTCATGATGTAAACTGTTATTTTTCTTCATGGAGGATGCAACCAAAATGTTTTTAAAAAGTGGTCCTATAAAACCATATTTATTAACCCTTTTTCACATCGGTGTGAACATTTCCAAAGCTATGTCTTCCCTTTTTATTTTGAATTTTCTTCCTTTTTTACCATTTTAATTTTTCACACGGTCAGGCCCAGCAATCTTTCGTAATCTCTTATTTCAGTTGAAAACAGAAATTCATCTTGTTTCCACGAAGGTGATAAATGATCCATCCCGTTTTTTGTCAACTCAATTCATACTGAAGAATTCTCCAGACACCCCCAAACTTATAAAAATTCATGTCAGCTCAGCAAAATGCAAATAAAGAGCTCAGGCACGAGCGCTATTGCGGAGTGGGCAAATCGAGAGGATGGGATAAACCTGAGAGCACGTAGCCCTGGTCTCACCTCCAGCTGTCAGAGTGTACGTTGCATCAGCCAAATGAGTTCTGGTGCAAATGCTGTATAAGCGCATGTTCTCACAGTCACCCAAAGATAGCTACAGCATGGGGAAAAAATAGTTGAAGAGGAAGTAAAGCTGAAGAACACGTGGAAACACTCAGAGTAATAAAGAGAGATGCGTCTGGGGACAGAATGGTTAGAATAAAATGATAATGATAGTAATAATTGCTGCTGTGTATTACATATTGACCAGGCTCATTGACTCCTCACCAAAACCGGTGAGGTTTACCATTATTTCCATTCCACAGATGAGCAAAGTGCGGCCAGAAGGCCACGCGACTTACCCAAGGCTGCTCAGCTTGGTAATACGTGCCCGGAATTTCAACTTCAAGCCCATGCTCTTGATCACTGCCTCTCCAACAGGAGCTAGCGGTTGCAATCAAAGGAAAATGGTGAACGCCTGGGAAGAGTTACTTACAATTTAGGCGTCTTAAAGGAATTGCTCTGTGGGAACCTTCCAGATTCCCCTTTCTGCTCTGGGGAATGTCTTTCAAATAACTGGATCTTGTGATTTAGAATAAAAGCAGCTTCTACCCTGTACAGTGCTGGAGACAAACAAGACTAATCTCTTGTATTCCATCTGCTATTTTCCTGGATTTCATTCAGATCGTGAAATTTCCTGATGTTACAAGGTCTCAAAGAGGCAGTAGAGGCCATGGCTTGGAGCACAGACACGGCAGCCAGCGTGTGTGGATTTGTCTCTGCTCTGCTTCCTTCTAGCTGTGTGATGCTGGCCAAGTTTTCCTCTTTTATAAGGTGAGGATAATAATAGTACCTACCAATTAGGACAGACAGTGCTTGGTCTACAGTAAGGGGTACATTAGTATGTTATATTATTATTACATACTACAATTACTTATTTTGAAGTCAGTATACTTTATATTCGTTATATTTTTTTCTGGTTGGAATTTAAGAGATAATCTAGTTTTATCAGCAGCAATATTTATAGTTAGGGTGAGTTTTTATGTTGATGTTTGTAAGTTACATTGAATTACCTGGCATTTTCTTATCTAATTCCTCAGTTTCCAGAATGCATGCTATTCGGGTGGGGTGACCAAATGTCTCAGTTTACACTTGTCCCAGTATAATTATTAATAGTGTCCCCTTTCAACTCAGAAGGGTCCTGGTTTGGAAGATAAATCACATGGTCATCCTATTTGTAGAACTGCAACTGCTTGTCACTGCTATATTATGTGATCTGGGTCAGGAGACCCAAAGCCTAGCATAGAATCAAGGGCAGCGATCCTAACCATTTATCATGCCAGGACCCCTGGGCAGGCTGCAGAAGACTTTGGACACCCCTCTAAGTAGAATTTTTTAGTACATGACATTAAATGCACAGTATAACAAAGAAATTCCATAATTTTGAAAGAATGCTAATCAAAATATTGAAAAAACCAAATCTGTGATATAGTAATACACATGCTTTTCAATTAATAATTAAATAACAGGTCTAATGACAGATTTACTAACTATTGTAATTTCAAAGGAGTGATGTGCTTAAATGATATTTTGAGATATCTGTGACAATGGTGACATGATACAGAAATGCCTGTGATTTCTTTTAGCAACAAAATCATAGGTACCATTTCTGTTTGTTTTCTATATTCACAGTAGAACATAATTTTTTTCCCCGTCCAAGTTCCGGGACCTCTCGAATTCTATCCAGAGCTCCCTGGATTTGGGTGGATGTTTGGGAGGGAAACACATTGTACGAAGACCAGGAAGGAAAGAAGAGACTGGAATGGTCGTGGGCTTGGTGATGGAGGAGAAAACTATGTGGGAGGTTGCCAGGGTGTGGATGGATGCAGTAAGGAGGCACATGGGTCTGTGGCTTGGCTGTGTTGACCGAATATGGGAGAGGTGAGCCCATCCACGATATAGCCTGCTGGGAATGTGAATTTGCAGAGTGGTTCAGTCTGTGGACTTTGAAGTCCGACACAACGGGATTTGGATCCAAGCCCTGCCATTTCCCAGCACGGATCTTGCACAAGCCATTTAATTGCTCTGTGACTCAGATTCTCCGTTTAGTGGGAATATTAATACCTATCTCACAAAATCACTTTGAAGATTAAATCAGACAATGTATGTAAAAAGCTTTGTACAGTGCCTGATATGCTTTTACAAGTTCCCCACTGACGGTTTTGGCCAGAGTACTGTGGTGATGGTTACTATGAAGGTCTAACTGCCAATAGTAAACAAGGGCTCCTGCAGTCACTAAAATGTCTCCACTCATGTGTAGCCAGCAGGGGGCAGCAAATATCACATGGCAGTATAAGCTTAGGAGGAAAAGAAAATGCAGGGGTGAGCGTGGATGGACCGCCCCCTCTGCTCACAGGCAATGAACTAGATGAACTAGGTTCCTTCTGCCGCCCACCCCACTTCCGTTTGACCCACAGTGCCTAGAAGTGTGTCCAGTCTCTGTTCTTGGGTCAAGCCCACCCAAACCAAAGAAGCACTGTCAAGGAATGTTCTGGTGAGGCTGCAGGCCAGGGATTGGGCTGAGACCGGCGGTTTATGTGTGCCCCATAATATCCAAGCAGCATTTTAATCGTATAAATGGGGGCGTGGGTACTGGGTCCGGGGAAGAATTCTGGATACAGTGGGAGCTTGTCAGTTTACTCTCACAAACTCCCTTCTTAAACTCTTCTTGCTATCTAAACTTTTACCTGTCCTCCAAGTATTCCCAGGAGCCAACAGGACGTACACAAGGGGTGCCCAATTTAGGAACATCAACCTTGGACATCCTGTTCTGTCCTTCCTTATCCTACTGCGATGAAGTTATTGCCTTATGTTACCCTGTACAGAAAATCATCTGGAAAACTTTTGAAATAGAACTCCCGTGCACACATGGAAAGCAATCATCCCTATTACAGTGACAGAAAGTCAGCAAGTTGTAGATGCCAAGATCTTATCTCCTTATCCCTTTGCAACCTTTCTCCAGGACATCAAAGAAATGAGATGCAATTAAATAGGATGATGGTAGGAACATGGTGCGTGAAATAGGCAAGCAGAAATATCATTTGAAAATGCTTCCCCAGACATAGAAAACAAACTTATGGTTACCAAAGGGAAAAGGAAGGGGGAATAAATTAGGAATTTGGGATTAACGGATACACACTACTCATATAAAATAGACAAACAAAAAGGACCTACTGTATAGTGCAGGGAACTGTATTCAATCTCTTGTAATAACCTCTAATGGAAAAGAATCTGAAAAAGAATATATATAAATGAATCACTTTGCTGTACACCTGAAACATTGTAAATCAACTGTAGCTCAATAAAAATAAAAATTTTTTAAAAATGCTTCCCTTCTCCAAGCAACTCGCCCAGGAATCCTTTGTAGATCTGTGCCTTGAGGATGGCGTGATCTCCCTCTCTGTGCCCCTTAGCACATGCTACAGAGCTGAACATGTGACTAGGTCTCCAAGAATTTTTATTGAAAGGTACTGAAATTTGGGAAATGAGCAGAGAGAGCCCCAATAGATATAATCTGGTTCTCCATGGAATGATTTTAATCTTTCTGATCCTTTTTCCTAAGGATCAGAACACTTTTCTGCAGATGAAATCTTATAATTTCAACAAACAAAGCAGAAGAAAAGGAATTTGCTCCAGTTGAGGCGGGAGGGAGAGAGGAGACCTAGGCACCCCTTCCCGACCTCAACCCTGGTACGCAAATCCAGGCTTCCTTCAAACACAGTTTGAACCCCTTGGCTTCCGACAGGCTGACAAGCCAGTCTGGTCTCTAGTCCAGATTATGCCACCGATGGAGGGTTTGGAGTTTCCAAAATGATGTGTCCAGACTAAGAGGATGGACACCAGTGTAGGTGACCTATAGAAGAAGAACACTGGATAAACAACCAAAGATATAAGTTCTAATCCCGGCTCTCCTACTAATTGGCTGGCTCGTGTTGACTGAGTCACTTGGTCCCTTCTGTACAATGAAGGCTGTGACCACGTGACCTCTGAGAGCCCTACCAGAGCTGACATTCTTGTCCAAAACAGCTGACTCATGGTGACTGGGAGGGAAGGCCACATAATTCTCCTTAGCGCCCAGGTCCAGGACTGGAGCCTCTGCTGCAGACCCACGTGAAACCGTGCAGCAGGAGTGAGTTTATAGCCCCTCTGCTTTTCCTCCCCCTTCTCCCGTGCTGGGCCTCCCCATGCCCTCCCCGCCATGCTGAGCCAGGGGGACCTGTCCCCTGTGGTCAGTGCCCCCTTCTCTGGTCCCTGGTGACCCTGTGCTCCAGTTCCACAAAAATATGTCTGGCTTCTATTAGCCTGGGGCCTCAGGCTAACTCTCCCTTCCAGGGTCCCAGCTTTAATACATATACCCCTAGAATTCTCTTCCAAAATCTGCTGTTTCTTGTCCGACCACCTCTCACTTTCCTGGCCTGCAACTCTTGCATAGTTTGCTTATCACTAGTGAATGGCTATGTTATCTACCCAGCATAGAAAATTAAAGACGGTAGGAGAGAACATTGATTTTTAAAAGATAATTCTGTTTGAAGAATCTGACTTCTTTTGCTCAATAACTGCAGTTCGGCATGCTAGATTTTCTGTGCGTACAGTTAAGATAGCAACAGAAATCGTCATAAAAATTAGTTTCAGTGCGATTTAGTGGATAGATCACAGAAAGAGAAGGTGGAACTGAAACGGAGCAGGACCCTATGGTCCTTGCCCCCCATGTCCTCAGCCTGACTTTTGTCCGTGAAAAAACTTTAGCCAAAGAATAAGTTTAATCAGAGAAGTGAGAAAATGCAGAAACAAAGGAAAACAGTCAAAGGAGACCAAATAATAATAGTTTAATCATTAAGCTTAGTCAAGGACCTTTAGTTCCTCCTTAAGGGCTATAGATAATATTCTGAGCCATCTCCTGTGAGCTGTTTTGCAGATACTGAAGGAGGAGGAAGACTATATGATGACCGACTGAAGCCATGACATAAGCTGCCGCAGTTCCGAGAACTGGCCTCAAAGAAATGGGAACAAAACCAGGAACTAAAGATTAACTGTACTTAAAACAACCAAGGTGACACTGATCAGACCACCATATTACTGCTTTCAAGATGACTGTCTGACTGTGCTGTTCTGCTCCCTCCCTCCACCTACAACCTTGAAACTCCCCTTTAAAAGTCCCTGTCCCCTGAGCAGCCATCGGGAGTTGGTTCTCGAACAGGAGTCCACCCTCTCCCCCGGTTGCCGGCCTCCGACATAAAGCAAACTCTCCTTTCATACCAACACTCGTCTCTCGAGAACTGGCTTTCGAGCAGCAAGCAGCTGGACCTGGGTTCGGTAACAGAACCATTGACTAGATATTTGGCACATCAATGAACTTTGCTGGATTAAATTCATCATCTGTAAAATGAGAATCGTGATGCGTGAGTCTCACAGGATTGCTGTAAGCATCACATGAGATCATTTGTTGATTCAGGAAATTTTTATTTGAAATATATCATATACCCAAAAAAGTATATAAAATTGATGTATACCATTTAAAGGAGCAAAATAAAACAAACACATATGTC